GGAATAACCCCAAACGGACTGGTTTGAGAGAGGACAGGTAGGGGGGGGGGGTACGGGTAAGGACCAGCCACCCGGCGTTGAGCGACTTCCGTCGAGAGATATTTGTCGATGACGTCCGGGTGTTGAGACGCCGACGTGAGATTGCGGAGCGACGGACGAAGGACCACACGCTCTGGAACGAAACCCACACGGAAACCATCGCGAATGCCCGCCAGCACATACTCCTTGCGGGGACTAGGATACTCCCTAAGCTCGTGCACAAAGGCTTCGAGATTGCGAGGGCAAATAGAGCCGATCGTGAACGAGGATAAGGGGAGTGGGGTAGGTCCTTCAAAAAGATCAAGGATGAGAGATACGTAGCCCCACCCCCGGACTGAAAAAAACCCAACTCCAACACAAACGAGTTAGAATACAATTTTATTGGCTAATGATAGACTAACGAGGCTAGACTACAAAATGTAGATATGTATGTATTGGCTTAACCACACGACAATTCTATCAGTCCAGAAAAACAAAGATGCCGACGAGTGAAGCTTAAGAACAACACGACCGACGCCACGCTGAATAAATATCATACAGCGGAGAATCGACAACGTAACAGAAAAATTAACAATATCAACGTTTTGAGAAAAAAGGAGACGCGCTTACGATGTCCTCTGTGTGTGACTGGGTCGTTCCCGCAGGGACGTTAAAAGGACAAAAAATACGTCTATGCGACCCCCCACATGCCAAACGATCACAAGCATGACAATATCGACACCTGCCGGCCAAAGGCAGTGCAACGCTCACTGTTCCAGGACCGGAAAAAAAAAAGGACGGCGAAGGGGGACTGGAACCCGCATGCTGAACGCGACGCGGGGAACACGGAACACGAACCGCGGCGGTGTGGATGTTAAATAGCTCCACGTTCATGTTTGACCGATCAGACAAACCCAGGGCGGCGGCGTCGCGGCGAAAAGCCTCGTCGTAATTGCGCCAGGCGACACCCCCGAATTGCGAATACGTTCGCAGAATCAGCAGTTCGTACAAAAGCAAGTCACGAGCACGGTGGGGGAACCGGGTAACGAGAACGAGGGAGAAGATGGAAAACACTTGGGCCCATTGAATGGCATCGGTAATATGTTTGGTCTTCCGGGTGGGGGGGAGCAATTATTAACCGGCCGTCGAACGACATGGTAGGGATGGACGATTCGTCAGATGGCGGGGACAGAAGGGCTGCCAGATCAATGTAAAGGCCCGACGCTATTGCCGTAACCGGTTTGTGGGGAACGGGGTTGAAACCGGGGCCCACCACCATGGCGTTATCAAACGACTGTGAGGGGAAAGCTGGACAGGAGGTACGTGCCCCCTGGTAATTAGACATGAGCGACGAAACAAAGTAAGAGATACCTGACCGTTGCACTTGAGCTGTTGAACCGCCAGGCGGACCATACGGAGTCGGGGGGATGGGTAGTAAGAGGGATGCACTGCCGCATTAGCCTGCCCCGAGAACGGTTGCTGGGACCAAGATGTTCCGGGTGGATCAAGGGACAACCCCCCTGGAGGCTGGCCAACGAATGGGTCTTGCTGAATGGGCTGAGGAGTCTGTGCGAGGTGCTGTGAACCAAGGGGGGCGGCCTGGGATGCCGAAGGATAACCATAGCCGACCGCGCTCTGCGAAGGGCCTGGGAACGACACGCTCGGAAATCCAACATGGCGGCCATCTGAAGTCGGGAATGTAGAAGGAGACGATAAATTCAAACCCAAACAAGACAGGAACGGCGAAGTCGATGGTAAAATAACGTTCCACGACGACATAGTATTTGGCAATGATCTTGTAGACGAAACTGCTGCGCCATAAAATGGATAAACTGGAGCGAAAGTACTGTTATTTTCAGCGATCGAGTAAACGATATTATCTGACGAATTCTGCAACGATTGTGATACTTCTGGCACAGGCGAAGAGGAAACAAACGCCATTGAGTCAACGTTTGAAACAGATGATCCAGATTCACGAGGAATTAAACGAGGCATCAGTGATGCTCGAAGTGTTTGGAACGACTAAATGTCACGACTGAGAATGAGCTACTGGCGTAAACAACTTATATAAGGTAGGTTATGCAAATGCCCTCATTAGCATTTGCCAAGCTGTCCCTGGGGCCCCCTATTCTGATAACAAATACAACAACTCAGCTCGTTATTAATATCATTTATTTCATAAATCCAATTAGGTATAAAATTCAAACTAAAAATTCTCAAAAGTGCAACCTACCTGGTGTCTAAAACACTTTTAGGGTTAAAGTAGAATACTTAAAGTTATGTTATTCGCAATAAAACTTGTCGGCAAAAGGAATATGAAGGAGTGCAAAATTCATAAATTATGGCTATAAATAGCTATATTGTTTACCTTTGTGATAACCGGAAACACGTTCAGCGTTACTCGCGGAGCTTTTATAAATTCATATTAGCGATTATTATAAATATAAAATAGTGTTTATAAGTTCTTATATACGAATACAAACACCGCCTTGTAATTTTTTTAAGCTTTTGGAAGGGTTGGGATAAAACGCGGATGCGGACGGACACGCGGACGGACGGACGGACGGACAAAAGGGATAAAATGCGGATGCGGACAAAAAGGATAAAATGCGGATGCGGACAAAAGGGATAAAATGCGGATGCGGACAAAAGGGATAAAATGCGGATGCGGACAAAAGGGATAAAATGCGGATGCGGACAAAAGGGATAAAATGCGGATGCGGACAAAAGGGATAAAATGCGGATGCGGACAAAAAGGATAAAATGCGGATGCGGACAAAAGGGATAGAATGCAGATGCGGACAAAAGGGATAAAATGCGGATGCGGACAAAAAGGATAAAATGCCCTAACATAATTCGTTATTTCGGAGACACAATTCATAGACTTAGTACACGGTAAATTCCAGCTGGAGTTTCAGCCGCTTGCCGAAAATGCATTGTAATTTCATTTTAGTTAGTATATGCAAGGTCATAGAGAATTGTGTTGGGGTTTTTCTCACCGTAGTAAAATACCATTACGGTGGTGTTGATTTCTGGATGAAAACAGCATGAATGCAACATAATATAAGAAATGCACAGAGCTAGTGCTGATGCCTTACCCGCGATATATTTTACGGAAATCCCAACGCAAAAATATATAACAACAAGGTATAAATTACAACAGGGTATTACAACAGGTATTACGAATGTAATAATCAATATTAAAATACATGTAGTTTATATGCAAGGCGGAGGCTTTGCAGTAAATAATTGCTCCAGGTATGAACCATGTTG